TATTTAATTACAATATATCATAATTTATAATTCAATTTTACGTTATTTATCACATGCCATAACGTATATATAAAAACAGTTGATATATAGACAATGAATCAATTACGAACCCCGTTGGGCAGAATGATTTTTTACAATAAATTTTTTTATATTAGGAGTAGACAGGACGAAAGGACTTCTTGTTCAGAAAAAAAAACAAATAGTAACGAAGCATATAAGTACTGAATCTAGAATTCTGCAAATTTTGTTTTGATTGGACTTCCGGTAACCTCACTTACACGGCAAAACACACTATGGTTGTTTCATGAGGACGCGGCGTCACTCCCGTCGGGACGACCTATTCGTGCCGAAGCTTGGCTCTCATACACTTATAATTCTATTTGTATATTACAAAAGTCATACAATTAGATACCTAATATATTCTACAAATAAAAAATCTATTATCTAGAAGTAAGAACCTTCTCCTTACAATAACTTCAAACACATCAAAATATTATTTATAATTTCGAAATTGGTCCAGGTATATTTACCTAAGTTATGCGCTTACCTAGAACCGATTTGAATTTTCAAATCAAATCGATTCTAGTGTTCTTTATTTAAAAATCGGTTCGGAGTTTATCGTGAAAGTCCGGACGTAGTCGGCAGCCAATCCGTCGCCGGATATTGAACGAAACAGTAAAGGTGCCTCCAATCCTCGACCGTTCTATTTTATAGGTATTTCCGAGTTCGTGCGATGAAAACGATTAAACAAGTTTGTTTTGACAGATAAGTTAGTGAAGTTTAGTTTGATATGAACGTATTTGAACTAGTTAGTTATCCAGGGGTTATCCAGGTTCATGTTAGTTTCTCTCTTTTACTATAAGTTAAAAGGCTTTTTCTTTTTATAAGTAATATTGCCATGTAAACTTATATTTAAAAATGTTAACTTGATAAAAGGAAAGTTGTCTCCGCTTTAAGTCTCGGGTGTCTTTTAATTTATTTGTATTGTATGTTTATGCTCACCAGGTGGCGCTAAAGAGTTTTCGTTAATTGAAACTTGAATGGCCTATGAAATTATAAGACCAGTTTTCCTCACGATGTTTTCCTTCACCATAATTCATTAGTGTCAAACAAAGAAAGAACATATAACTCGGAAAAAGTCACACAAAAAGGTTCTCTGATGCACGAGAAGCGGACGCTTTAACTTCCGAAGTACAACAATAATATACATAATACCTAAGTACATACAGTAACATATATTGAAACATCTGATACTTTATCTCTACTTATGTAGGTACCCCTTGGGGGTAAAAACCCGTTATGTTAGGGGTACAAGATAGTAATATATTTATTTTTAAATCTACAGACTCAATCTTGTTTATATTGTTTTCATGGACATATCTGAAACCAATGTAGTGTGCATTCGAAACGAGATCCCGTGTGTAATGAGCCTTGCACGAGCATCGAACGGTTGTTTAAATCTACTTTTACGTTTAAAAGAATATTACTTAGATATTGCTTTTGAGGTATCTTTGTGAAATATATAGTTTTGGTTTTAACCTTTCAATTGTGGTAATTCGAGAGACAATACAATAGAATAACAATAGGTGCGCAAACGCCGGCGTTTGCTAGGGGTTTGGTGAATTACTCAACTAGGTAGATACGAGCCAAAATGAGCCGCCAGATCACCTGATGGTAGGCAATCGGCGCCGCTTATTGACACACACAACATCAAAGTTGTTGCACGAGTTTTGGCAGCGTTGTTGAGTTATGAATTTGAGAATTGAGGGATTTGGGGATTGTGCCTCGGACAACTCAGAAGACGCTCGTTAGTTGAACTGGTGTTTTTCTTTCCTCAAAAGACCAGAATTAACTTGCACGGTTCTCACACATTATTATTATTTTTTTAAATAGACAGATATCTGTTAGTTTTCGGCAATTCTTCTCAAAGTAGTCACATAGGAAATTATTCTCATCTACATCAGCTTCATCTACATTTTACCTATAAATAATTTTGACGTGTAAAAGTGCTGTTTTATTATCTATTTACATAAACGAATTCATTGTTTCATCTAAAACCACACTCACATGGCGCAAAACTATTCATTTTGACTTGGAAAAGGGCAATTGTGTTAAATAAACACACTTTATAAGGAGCTAAACCATCAAATGCGTTCTATCGCCCAGAGTATGGCGAGGGAGAGACTGTCAGACTCTTACTGACTTAAAATCCCTCTGTTCCTTCTCTTACGACAGGCCGAGGCTGCGGTACCTAATACGCTTGACCCGCAACCCCGGCTAAAGATCAGCCCAGTAGGAACCCATCTGTGGTGGTCTATTACCCCTTTAAGGCACGAGCAAAACGCAGCGCGCCATCGCTCAAGTTAATAAATGCACTACAATGATTACACTTTAAAAATAACAAGTATTTAAAAAATTAGTTATTATTAATATCTCAAGCTTTCCTGTCTATTTCTATGGTATACCAAAAAGAGTAAATACAATCTACTTTATTTATAAACCATCCAAGGTCGAAATGAACTCATTATTCACCAAAAAAATATGGCTGACTACTGGAACTCGCAGTAAACTGTCTCCCTACGTAATTAATGGAGCTAAGATCCATTCAGATTGTTAATTAAAATAAAATTTATACAATATGAGACATCTACCTAATTAATCTTCGAACCTACAACGAATATTTCTTGTCCGTTCACAATTTACTGACTCAAAAACTTTTGATTACGTAACAGGTGCGTGGATTACGCCATATTACGCCGACTGTAGCGTTTTCTTCGCTAAACTTGGCCGTCTACTCTGTGTGGAGAAGCACTTATACGTTTCGTATTTCACTTTTGTTTTAACTCCTTGATTTTATTTAAATGCTTTATAGTATGTATAAACGCAATTGATATACATACACAATTACTGATATTCCGACTAACAGGCACTGTGTATCAAAGTTTAACAAAATGTTTCAATAATAGTTTGACTAGGATTTAATAATTTTATGTAATAATTTAGAAATATTTCGTGACATAATGTGACTTGACATATTTTTTACTGTAATAATTAAATTTTGCGACTTATGTTAGAATACTAAAGTAGAATACCTAATTTCAAATAATTATCATAAATGATTGTACACCTTATACTAGGTATGTTACATTGCTACTAATATTATAAAATAACATCTAATTGTAAACATGTAACAAACAATAAATTAATTTGAATTTGAATTTGAATTTGAAAGTCGCTTTCTTTGTCCCTATATCCCTATGTATGCTTAAGTCTTTAAAACTACGCAACGGATTTAGATGCTCTTTAGATGCTCTTTAGTTAGAGTGATTTTGAAATAGTGGAGAAATTTTGTATTGGCATTGCACTTGTGTGAAGCTGGGCAGGTTGCTAGTCAAATCATATGATACGTCTATTTTCATTGATAAAGTGATAAGTCACATAAAAAACAATTACGAAGTAAGAATCTATTATTTACATTAAGTGAGGGAGAGCCATGCGTCGGCACGAATGGATCGGCTAGACCAGTGTGAGACCACGGCCTCACAGAAAACCAGCGTAAAACAACCACAGCGTTGTGTTTCGCCGTGTGAGTGAGGTTACCGGAAGCCCTATTCTTCCCCTCATCCCTTGCCAATCCTAAAATATCCGAAACCCTCATCCCCAAAAGGCCGGCAACGCACTCGTAAGTCCTTTGGTGTTGCGGATGTCCATGTGCGGCGCCGATTGCTTACCATCAGGTAATCCGTCTACTCGTTTGGCGACTTATCCTATAAAAAAATACAATTATTTACTATCTCATACGTAATTTATATTAAATGTCATAACTGACCATATTAATCCTTTCGATGCTTTCAGAATTAATTTACGTGAAACTTTCATACGATCGTTAGGAGATTCTGAGTATAAGGGATAATCTGATCTAACTCAGTAATACTGAGGTTGACATATATGAGATTATCAGATTACAGTATGTTATTTATAAACAATAACTTACATTATTTTAGCTAAATGTTATACAGCCGATTTTTTTTTAAATAGTTTATTGCTGTCTCTATACTTAATTTAATTATTTTTAAAAGAAAATATTAGAGTGCACTCAGTATTCAAAGAGCTGTAGGTAATAATCGCAATCAAATTCCAAAGTCTTCAACCATTCTACAAATCATCATTTCTTCTCACACAGAGAAGATTTGAGCATTAATCGCCACGCTTGCTCAAGGCGTATTTGTGATTTTAAACCTATAGGTATAATTAGAAATTATAAGTTCAGGTTTCCTCACGTATTTTCCTTCACCGTATATTAGCGGTGTCTAAATAATCCTAGAAATAACTCGGAAAAAGCGCATTAATACTTGCCAGATTTCGAACCCACACCCTCATATATGAGAAGCAAGCGCCTTAAGGCGGAGGTCAAAAATACTTTTTACTCATTCTCAGAGTCATTTGACTCTCGAACTCGAAAATTTATTTCAAACCTACTACCTATAATCAAAGTACAGTCATAAGATGATTTCTAAAAAAATAACAAAACTACACTCACAATTTTTACACTACCTTTCGATTTCAAATTGATATATCCTCAAAAACGACACGAGCGCCCTCTGCGCAACGCAATACATCAACGAGTTCAATATAAACGTTTGGTCGTAGTACCGTGAACATTCTGGCGCTCAAACAGTGTGTGCGCACCACTAGTCGGGGCAGTCACTCGTTAACAAAGGGCTGTGCGGTTTACGAAACAAAAATATAAAAGTTTTTGGAAGCAGAAGAAAGAATTTGGGACTTAGTAGACCACTGACCTAGTTAGAAGGTGCTTTACACTAGTTATATCATTAGTAGATACAGTAAAGAATTTGTTAAGTATAATTAAGTAGTATTTTTTTATGAAATAAGTCGGTTATAAATTGGAAAACCGCAATACCAAAGAAGTTACGAGTGCGTTGCCGGTCTTTTAGGGATATAGATTGATAGGGGTTTGGAATATTTAAAGATGGGAAGTAATGGGGGAAAGGTGAGGGATTGGGCCTCCGGTAACCTCACTTATACGGTGAAACACAACGCCCTGGTTGTTTCACGTCGGTTTTCTGTAAGGCCGTGGTGTCACTCCTGTCGAGCCGACCCATTCGTGCTGAAGCTGGTTCTCCCACACTAAAAACTTCTTGTCTTCATTTCAGAAAAAAACCGTTTTTTTACTGGGTTTTAGCATTGTACTTTTAAACTAAGGTGTAACATATCAAAGAGCAGATCATTGCTAAAAAATAAGACAGAAACAAACGATGAAATCTACATTTCACTTGACCAACTTTAACTTAATTGAAACACTGAGATAAAACAAACAAATTAAGATCTTGCATTAATTTGCAACTCACGAACATCAACAGCAAAATTTTGGCAGTGTGTCAACCCTAACCTCGAACTAGGTCGTGGGTAGTTTACTTTTGTGTGACAGCCCTGGAGTGTGTACACAGTGGAGGGTAGGCGTGGGCGATTTCGATCATAGATGCTCCTACGTATGGAGTGACAGGAAAATATTTGGAGGATCCGTTACTGACGGGTGGTGAATGGGGGTTTCATCATTGGCTACGTGATTTTGTTTTGTTATTGATAGGATTTGCACACCTGTCTATTATGGTTGGCCTGTTGTGGAATATTGAACATTATTTAAAGGTACTTTAGTTTTAAATTTGCGTTTCCTGTGACTTATTTCTTCTGCAGTGTTCTGACAATGTAAATATTTCGTTTTAAATATTTTATTTGTAGGTATTTTTAAGGACTAATTTTGGGATTTGACGCAAAAAATACATTATGATTACCTACATCGTAAGTCATTCGCCGTACAAATCTAATAATAATAAAAAATCGTAAATTCGTTGTTTTTTCTTTGTTAAGTAGTAGATGTCTTCGGGTCGATAAAAACGTCGTATTATTCAAAGTGCCTAGACAAGCCCTGCTAGAGTGATTGAAAAATATAAGTGTGGGAGAGCTATGCTTAGGCGCGAATGTGTCGGCGGCTCGACCGGATTCATACCACGGCCTCACAGAAAACCAGCGTAAAACAATCACATCGTTGTGTGTGTACCGACTGAGGGGGTTATCGGAAAACTAATCCTTCCCCTCCCCCAATTCCTCCCCAATCACAAAATCTCTAATTCCCTAATCACCAAAAATTGGCAACGCACTCGTAACTCCTGCATTGTTGTAAACAATCAGCGCCGCCCATGGCCACCCTCCATGGGCGGCGCTGATTGTTTACCAGGTAATACGACTGGTAGTTAGCCGTCCTATCATATACAAAAAAAATGAGCGTTCTCAAATACCTTGAAATGCGTAAATCGACACAAAACGATTTCTCTATCACAATCACCCCTACATCAAGTTATTGAGTACAGAATGAAACTACATCTAATCAACTATGTCAATTGCAACTTTCAATACCACAACACTACAATAGAATACTCATATTATATCATCTTTCCATACCTGTTCCATGGAACAGGTATTATTAATATAACAGGTATTTCCTACAGTGATGTCCATGTTATACTCGAGTTAGGAACAAGTATGACATGTGCATAAAGAACAGTTTCCGTTACGTCATCAACACATCTCTTATTCAAGGTTTCCTATATCGTATTGCATCTGTCCTCTCTATGTTTATTTATAGTATTTTTATTTTATTTCATAACTATTTTCCTCCTACAACTTCACACGCGTATGAAAGTAATGTCTCCGATAACTTCAGCAGCGTTTAAAGCGGTAACTTGACTAAAATACACAAATCAAGTATAATTTATAGCCTATAGCAAAGATTACCCCTACATACAAACCACCTAAAGTGAGATCCAAACTAATATTATAATTGCGAAAGTAACTCTGTCTGTCTGTCTTTTCTTCACGCGTCAACCCCTGAACCGATATCTGTGAAATTTGGTACAGACATAGTTTAGAACTCAAGAAAGGACATAGGATTTTATACCAAAAATCTGCAGGAAGTCACTATGCCACGCGAACGGAGTCGCGAGCAAAAGCTAGTACTAGATATACACTTTAGGATATACATACTTAGATAATATTCGTATTTTTGTATCTAATATTCAAGAAAGAAATAAGCATTTTGAAAAAATAAACAAAACTTTACTCATGGCATATAATCCTGTAGAAAATTTATAGAAAATAAGTTAGTTATTTGACTCAAAAATACATCATAATTTTGAGTTTCATATAGTTTACAACTTTCAATAAAAGGATTGAACTTGACTTATGGAAATTACCGTATTACGTATACGTTTTTACAAGATAAAACTACACTGAAGATATATTTCAACGACAATTTTCATTCAGCGCGTTTCCTGAAACTTGTAGCTTAAGTTAAAACTAAGTTACCACAAAACTTTCAAGAAATATTCAATGAGAATGAAAGCTTCATAGCTGAAAACTTAGGAACACGTTACTGAATACTGAAATATTTTATCATTTAGTTTGTAACTGAAACAAGGCTTTTACGGGGATTCAAGTTACTTGAAAACTTGATAAAATCGGCTGAAAATATTAGAGATTCTTCTGGATCAGATTTTTGGATTACTTTCTCTATCCCCAATCTATAAGTGTCTACAATATGTGTGGGAGAACTATCCTTCGGCACGAATGGGCCGGCTCGACCAAAGTGATACCACGCCTTCATAGAAAACTGGCGTGAAGCAAGTTAAGTTGTGATTCGCCGTATCAGTGAGGCTACCGGAGGCCCAATGTAGCCTCCCTCCCCATCCTCAACCCTCTCATCTCCTATTCTTAAATCTCTAATAACCTGCGAGAGGCCGGCTAGCACTTGTAATAACTTACTCTGTTAGGTCGTTTGGCGGCGCTGATTGCTTACTATCAGGTAATCGTATCTGCCGACTTTTAACATAAAAAATCGTAAGTTCGAATAATGTATGAAACAATCCGTTATGCGATCCACAAATTGTTTGTATCTTACCTACATGGCAATTTCTGTTTGTAAACGCATCTACAGCACAATCCAAAGGCATCATCATACATGGTCGTCAGTGCATATCCAATACTCAATATTCAATTATTTATTACATTCAATGTGTTTCTTAGGTGGTAGATTATAAATTATTTATGAGATCATCATGGACCCTACATGATGATCTCATAAATACATAGGCACAGCAAAGTAAATATGTATTTTTCCTTTCCAGCATGTGGTCCCTTTGGCGCGCTTGGAGCGTGTTAGCTTGCGCCTGCGCAGTGGCGGCGCAGCGTATAGACCAGGACGCCATCATGTCGCCGCGCCCTGCCCGTCTGCGGGACCTGCGGCAAGACACCAAGACGGACGAACCGACTTGCGATCAACTGAAGGCAATGTGGAGGTAAGCAAACAACTTAGTCGGTTAGTCGACAATATATTTTTAATAGGAATTCAAGCATTGATTGAATTTAATCATTTTATTGATGAAAATTTTGCAAAAGACACTGATGAGGCCTGCCGGTTAGTGCGGTCGCGGTGGTTGGGAAATATATCTATGAATTTTGTATAAGATCGCTACGTTTCATACGTCGCAGTAGTATAGTAGTATCTTATGTATGAACGTCAAAGAGCATACTTACTTTAAAAAAGTTATCGAGAAAAAATATAAAATTATGTATATCGTCAAAACAAAGTATGATTATATTATAAAAATTAATATTACTTATTTTTGACCAAGGATACTTCCACATTATAGATTTGTACAAGTACCCAATATACCTACAGGAGAAATTCCTAGCGCACCACTTTATTTTTTTAACAAATAATAAATACATGCTTCTGCTAGGCTCGAAGTGAAGTGGGTTCTTAGTAAGTGAGACTCAGCCTCTGTCAATTACCTCATCCAGAAGGAAACGGAGTATTCCAAGATTTTCCTCCCACCTTAAAACCCTCCTATTGATTCATATAGGCCACCATGCACACAATAATATATAGAGATATTTTCAACATAATAATCACAATTGCGACCTTAAAAATCATAAAACGGCACTAAAAATCAATGGAAAACTCAATACATATACAAACATGTATCTACGTATTTTAAGTGACCTTTACAAAAATTGCCCGCAAACATTTTCCCAACATCGAAATACTAGGGGTATTTACCCCTACGCACAAACTCGAAGCACAAACACGAAAAAGTATCACAAATATTTGTGGCAACTCCTCTCAATGTCCAAAACGATACTTGGAATTTCTGAAGGTCGGAACTTCGGAATACCAACAATAGACCAACAGAATGCCGATAAAATATCATTTCGCGACCATTTACATAATTGCCATTTCTCCCCTAGAATTCAAATGATATCGGGAGCCCTCTATCGTCCGATCTAAGATAAATTGATACGTATAGACCGCACATCAAAATATACTGGACTGTCATTCATTTTTAACATTATACCAGTGTTGATAAAGTCGAAATTCGTTTAAAGATATTTGACAGTTTGATACGCCCAGCTTGCCCGTCAAACTATACTATCAATATATATTATTTAAATTGCAGCTTTATATATTCGGTATAAAGTTGAAATTAGTTTTAAGGTATTTGGCAGTTTGGGGTACTATGATGTGCTGGTGTCTGGAGTTCGATATTAATTAGTTACGACTAATTTAATAAGTTAGGTTATTGGATACTGAATGCCAATTTAGCTGGGTATATTAAATGCCTGGGATTTTAGGACTTTAGGATAATATTGCTAATTGTAATGATTAATTTATATCTCTAATAATATATCTGTATTATATCTTTGTGGGATAGGGCTGCAAAAAAGCATTTGGATCTCCTAATAGTAAACACTAGGTGACTTCTATAGACACCCCTAACACCAGTTTCGCGATGTGTTTCCCTTTATCCTTATCCTTCAATCCCTCCCCAATCCCTAAATCTCCAAATCCATAATCCCCAAAGGTTAGGCTACGCCCTCGTAACTCCTCTGTTGTTGCGGGTGTCCATGGGCGGCGCTGATTGTTTACCATCAGTCTAGTGTCTGCTCGTTTGCTGACCTATCGCATAAAAAAACATTAGTTACTGGTAATTTACTGGCCTTTTAGTAGAGGTTTATAGGGATTTGGAGATCGGGGATTAGAGAAGAGGATTAGGCCTCTGGTAAACTAAATCACGCAGTCAAACTCAACGCTTTGGTTGTCTCAAACTGTATTTCTGGAAGGCCGTGGTATCACTCCAGTCGAGCCGACAAATTTATGGCTCTCCCTCCCATACTTGTATGCAATGGGAATATTGGAATTCACAACATAATGGCAGTGCAGCACATGTATGAAATAACACATTATTTCTCGCAGTTGAGTTATCAATTCAGTATAAAAACTTTGACCGATTAGAATGCCGACGAATGTAACTCTATTAAATCTAGGTAGGTAAAATTTGTAAGCTTATATGTAGGTGGTAATCTTTGAAACCGTTGGTCGGATTTCCAAAATTCTTTCACTGATAAATAAACTTTGCCCCACACTAGGATTTTCTCCTGTGTCGTGGGTGTGGTTACAAACATACAATTTCACATGCACATGATACCCAGACCCGGAACAACAGTTTGTGGATGCTACAATGTTCCTGCGTGCTATAGGCTATACAACATTACGCTACGATCTATAGAAGTCGAGCAGCGAGTGCAACCGCGCGAAAGTAGCCAGTATGTCATATAGAACATTCCAGGGCGGAATCCGAGCTAAAAATAAATCACTTACGTAGTTTAAGACAAATATTTTTTAATGCGAAATTCTTCCCAAAAACTTTTCACCAATCGTCGGAAAAGTTTTAAATGAGAAAATACTTTCTTCGCGTTCGAACATTAATTTATTATGTATATTGACGTTTCCTAAGTAAGTTTAGGAAAATATTTTAACAATTAGTTTTGAAGTTTTCTATTCGATCATATGGAAATTACTATATGTGACTTAATTGAAAAGTAAAAAGGTACTGTGTTCTTGTTGTTGGATTCTAAGCTATAGTAATTTACTGACAAAAGAACTGAGTCTTTTTAGTCAGACAGCCGAAACACCTCAAATTGGACCGCTTGGATTATTTCCTGCGGCCCCAGCTCGGAACAGCAAAAGGGATGGGATGGTTTTTGGTCAATAAAATTCCGAAACAACCTCTCATCTCACGTCTCAAAAAAAAAATAGCGACCGCTAGGGTTGTTTTACTTTTATTTTACTCGTTTAAAAACGGCCGCTTCTCCCTAGCATAGTTAGGGCCTAAAATAATTATGGTATTATGTTTCTAACGTTTCGCATTTCAGTTCTGTTAAGATCAAAAATAATATTAATGTACATGCCACGTCTATATTGATCTAAGTACTAGATTGACTTGTTTATATGTCATATATCGGCCAACGAGCAGACGGATACTTGTGCATCGTCGGCCTTTTCTGGGTTATTAGGGATTTGAGGATTAAGGTTGGGGGAGGAGATTTGGTTCTCCGGTAACCTCACGGCGAAACATAACGTAAGTGTTGCTTCACGCCAGTTTTCTGTGAGGCCGTGGTATCACTCCAGTCGAGCCGACCCATTCATGCCGAAGAATGGCTCTCCCCACTGACTACAAAATGATCGTCTTTCAATAGACAGTATTTGGAAAAGTGCCCAATAACAGTTCAATACCAAGTGACCTACTATTCTGGCGGTAACGGCCGGAGAGTGCATCAAATTGCACTTCTTTTTCGGAATCGGTGTCATTTTAAATCAGCCAATGTTTTTGTATGAATTTCTATTGGCATTCAAGGAAATATTTTATTCTTCCTAAGCTGATTTTAAAAGAAACGAATCACTTTAGCAAGGGCATAATTACTAATACTTCTTAAAAATAAAGTATCAAGCCTTCTAGGCATGCAATAAAGTCTAAGTCAAAATCATAATCTTATCTTAATCCTTTTTTTGCTTTCATTGCAATTCTTTCAATATATATTTTTTTGTTTCACGTTCAAAAGTTACTATGTTGAAAGTCAAGCAAAAAAGAGAAAAGAAATTTTCATTTTTTTAAATGGTTTAACATTATGTGTGTCAGTCTGTCCTCTAGTGAAGCTATTTCCTCGTTCCAAAGTTTAGATTCTGATGGAGAAGAACGAGCAAGAAACTCCATGGTTACTCTTTTTCAATCAGTTTTACAATTCATTGCTTTGTTATATCATTGAGTCAGTTCTTATATGTGGGCATGAGCAAGCATTTTTATCCTGTGTATAATAATTTTGATTTAATTTTCAATATAAATATTTATTTTTAATAATAGCTACGTTTACAAATCGTCGTAGTTATATAAATGCATACAATAATATCTTGCATTAAATATCTGCACTTGACTTACAAAAATAAATGTATTTTCACTTTTACCATGATTTCTATAAAAAAAATACCTCAAAAGAAAGTGTATTTGATTATTTACCTAGTTGGTATAAACCATTATTTTTACTAGGTACTAAAGAAATTGCGTCAAAAAAGTTACACTGAATGATTCCACCAAGCCTAATAGAACATTAAACACATTAAAATTACGAAACATCCAAACATATATTTGGAAACCTCATCTAATTTCGTAAAGCTCACGTCTTATCTAAACGAGTATTATGACAGGTGCCCTAAACAACTGAGAGAACGAAAACAAAAAAATATTATAACAACATTTTCGTATACCCTCGAAAAATATTAAAATGCTATCCTTTGCGGGTAGTTACACAAAGTGCCAGCTGTCTGTCAAGCCGGCTATATGTCAGATTCACGTCGACCGTCCCACGCAACGGTCGCTTCAGAGACACGCATCTTGCATTTAAATTATATTAATCAAATTTTCCTATACGGATGGGCGCCTGGTACCTGTGTCTTCAACCCTTGTATAATTAAATCAGACTTACCCTTGAGATGTTTAAGGAAATTTACATGTTATGGAAAACTTTAGGGTGACCACAAAATGCTGTCCATAAGGGCTACTGAAGTTTGTATAATAATTAACTGCCGTTTTCTTATAAGCTTGTACTATTTATAAGTGTTGGTCAGGTTTGAGCATCAATCACCACGCTTGCTCAAGGCGGATTGGCGATTTTAATAGAAATTATAAGTCCATAGGTTTCATCACGATGTTTTCATTAACTGTATGTCAGTGGTGTCTAAATAATCATAAAAAATACATGTAACTCGGAAAAAGTCACATTGGTACTTGCCTGCCACCACGACCATCGCTATTTTCAACCAATTTTATTAATACGTCTCACAATGTTGCAATACGAGTATAATAAGTGTGAGAGAGCCAAGCTTTGACACGTATGGGTCGGCTCGACCGGAGTGATACCACGGCCTCACAGAAAACCGGCGTGAAACAACCACAGCGTTGTGTTTCGCCGTGTGAGTGAGGTTACCGGAGGCCCAATCCCTCCCCCTCCCGATCCCTTCTCAATCCTTAAATATCCTACACCTTTATCCCTAAAAGGCCGGCAACGCACTTGACAACAACTCTTTTGATGTTGCAATCAGTCAATCCGTATAGGTATATACCTATATATTATATAACTATATATTAGTTAATTTCGAATACTTAATATAATTTCGAAAACAAAAAATCATAATATCGATTCTACATTACAATATAGCGCCCGTATTAATCCGAAATCGTTACAGAAACAAACAAACATAAAACTCGGCCCGTATAAACTTTATCAACAAATTCTAAACACTAAAGTAGGTACCTAAAAGTGACATACAAATGGCCGACCCAACGATTGGGTTTATACAATCCCTATTGTGCTATTAATAACTGTTTGGATTTCTAATAATAAATTGAGGGCTTAGGTGAATGACCTGGGTTTTAGATATGTATTTGTATTAAGTGGTGAGAACTAAGCTTCAGTACGAATGGGTCGGCTCGACCGGAGTGTTTCCACGGCCTCACAGAAGACCGGACGTGAAACAACCACATAGTTATTTCGCTGTGTGATGAGGTTACCGGAGGCTCAATCCTTCCCCTACCCCCATCGCTTCCCAGTACTTAAAGCCGAAACTGTTATGCCTGAAGGTCGGCAACGCATGTGTAAATTTTTCGTTGTTACGGGTGTCCATAGGCGGCGCTGATTGCTTACCATCAGGTAATTCGTCGGCTAGGTTACCGTCCTAAAATATAAAAAAATATAAATATGAAGACTCAGTTTGTTTGTTGGAACTATTGGTTCGAATTAAACAATTATTTTTGTGTTGAATAAGGCTATAGGCTAATATAAAACATGACGCTATGACCCATAGCCAGGGAGTGAGTAAAACCGCGGGAGAAAGTAGTATTAGTATAGATAAGTAGCTTCTTAAACATGTTAATGAGGTTGAATGTACCGAAAAATGCTCAATGGTCTTGAATAATAGGATCTTATGCTTCATTAAAGTATTTTGGCGCTCCATTGGGTTGGCAAGACTATGTCACACGTTTGTTAGAACTTACGTTATAAGTAAGCTTTTTAATATTTGAAGGTGCTCGCAGTAATACCACAATTATACATATATACGCATTTTCAGTCAATCTTTCTCTCCCACAAATTGCCTTTCGTTACTGTCAAATTGTATATTTAACTTTAAAGAGGGTCCCTGTACGTCAGGTGTAATTTGTAGATAAATAAAACATATTTATTAAAAAAAAACAAATCTATTAAAAATTAACATTACGGTCGCGCGGTCTTCTCTCGCCTAGGGTAAGGAGAGGAGGAGTGACAGACTCTTACTGACTTGAAGCGAAGCGAAGGAAGCGGGGGGGATTCGTACCTTATTGCGCTAGCCCCGCAACCCTGGTTGAATATCGTCCCTATAGGGGCCATCTGTGGTGATCTATTAGCTGGTACAAAATGCAATTGCACTGCAAACCGTTGCGTAGTTTTAAAGATTTAACCACACCTACATAGGGATATGGGGGCTGAGTAAATTACCCGTTTAAATCCAATGATGTATAAAACTATAGATACGTTGTCCGCGCTCTAAAATGACAACATGAAATGAAGGCAATTGACAACATCGCGCTTAGTTACGCACCAACCTGCCGCGCGACGCGACGTTTGTTTTTAATTTATATCGTGTGTGTAAACCTGTGCGAAACATAAAGAAAGCATGCCGTCGTGTGTGTTCAGACGATGTACAAATTATACTCCAAAAGTTAAAGACAAAAATGTGTCATTTCATGCGTAAGTTTACCAAACGACCTACTTATTTTTATTTTATTTTTTTCGACGCCGCCGGCGCCCGCCATCTTATAGCGGCCGGCAGCTACGTCACTCGTGCGCTCGACCAATGTAAATGTAGTTTTACTATTACTTATCCTGTGATGTAACTGAAGATGTATATTTATCTCCCTTTAGCAAAGGCATTCCACTATACGATGTCATATTTTCTTTCCCTTTCTTTAGTCGTAGAAGTAGTTATCTAGTATTTTCGCCGTTTTTAAGCGCCGCGATGTTGGTTCATGACGTGTCTATATATAATACGTCATTGTTTAAATCCATCTTTATTTATATTTTTGCAAACACTACATACGAGTACTATAAAAATCCTGACAACTACTAATGATTGTATTATTACTTACTAGTTTCCGCCCGTAGCTTCGCCCGCATATCGGTGGATAAAAGTAGCCAAATCCAGGGTATCATCTATCTAATCTACAGAATCGGTTCATCCGTTTCTGCGTGAAAGACTGACAAACATACCTACATCCAAAGGGTACATTCTCACAAACTTTCTCATTTATATTATTAAGTAGGAAGAACATCTAATTGCTGTTTACCCTATAAGTGAATTTTCCATTAACCTTATTATTTCCATCGCCTCGAATCTAGGACACGTAGGTAACAGCATTAGCAGCTTCTCTTCCTATCTAAGCTCTGACTAGATTAGATAATAATGTCCTTATAGTCATTTTCAATAAACATATAGGCGTTTTACTATACCTATTACTGAAAACAACTATAGCAGCTCACACATAGGTCCCATTACAATAACAATACAAAATTTTCCGTCATGTTTTGTGACTGGGCTTCTCCCAGTTGTACAGTCTCTTCTGTGCCTTTAAGGCCCAAGTCATTCTGTCTCCTGCATTAAATTTACCGAGAAACTATTTCGTATTTTCTCCTCCTTAAATAATATCTTCTGATTTATTTCGTTGCGGGATCCAAGACACTCATTCATGACCCTGGGACGCGCTGGACTATCGTTCCGGTGTTATCATGGTTGTATCTACTGTAGATCCTGGCTTACAGGAGTTGCAGCGATTTTGGGAGGTTGCGGCGGGCTTGTCCCAAATGTATCTGAAAGATATTGGTCTATTTTTTAAAGTATCGACTTATTCACGTGATGTAACTAGGAAAGCTTTACTAGTATCAAATCACAACGGGACTCTCTTTTCATACTTATGAATAAATAAGTAAGTCTTATTTATTATCAATAGAAAAGATACTCACGTAAGTTATTCGTTATTTTCAATAACAAAAAGATTTTTGTCTAAGGGCAGATTTTTTCAATAGTCAGATATACTGAGATCTTATCTAAGGAATAAAATTGTTGCGGTCACTGTCTTATACAAACATTCTGACGCGACAGCATCATAATTATACCCCAAGTAACTTTTATCTAGCAATTGAAAAATCAGCCCTAAATCGAAAGACATATTTTTTTCAATATTTTTGTACTAATCAAATCTATCTCATAATCACAAAGTTCTATAAAATAACATTGTATAATTGTCAACAGATTCTCGAAGCGACAAGCTCGAGCGCCGGAGATCATGAATGAAGTGAGTTCCTCGTACCGTGATCCGTTGATGTACAACGAGTGGCCTGTATACACCGCAATACCCAGAGCCGCGCCCAGGTGAGACGATAACTGCCACCTCCACCCTATAAAATAAATGTTGACTTTGAAAATGGAAAATAATTCTGTGAGATTTTGTTGTTTACCCCGCGTAAGGACGACAATAGATGGATTTACCCTACTTTTCTCGATGTAAACGCGAAAGCTTTGGATTTTTTGCTGTATAGCTCACTGGTATGTTTGTGTTAGAGTTTTTATTTAAAATGTAAGTATCTACTTTTTATTTGTAGTCTGTGATCGATCTGTATTTGTTCCCGGAAAGGTATATCATCTCTATTATCGTAGGTCGTTACCAACTATCCTCTAAAGGTATATCGTTAATAATATTAACAAGATTTGATCTTGTAATACAGTGATTAATATAAACCTTTCTTTCAAAGAGTAGTGTAACTCTTTTCTAGTTTGGTACAGATCTGTTTAAGATAAATCAACTCTATTTCCTTCCTCTTAAGGTTCAGATACCGGTACCCAGCGCTACCCCGTGAGGAATTCGGCAGAGTTATAACCAAGGCACCTCCCAACGTCGTCCGCACTCCAGATTATGATGAGGTAAGATATTTAACACTTTCTAGAAACTTTAATTTCATAGCCATTTGCTTTTTTTTAATGTGATAGGTTGCAAACAAGCAGGCGGATTACCTGATGGTAAGCAATCAGCGCCGCCCACGAGCACCCACAACAACAAAGAAGTTACGTGGCAATCTTTTGGGGAGTAGGGAGTTAGGAATTAAGGTATTGGGGCTCACTCACACGGCGAAACACAACCCTGTGGTTGTTTCACGCTGGTTTTCTGTTAGGCCGTGGTACCACTCCCCATTCGAGCCAAAGCATGGCTCTCCCACACTTAGCCTGGTTCTATTCTGCTGAACCTAGGCCAGAAAAACAATGTTAATAAGTATGATGAATGGGATCTGAATATGATTTAGCTTATTATATCATAATATCAGGATATTAGTGCCCACTGCTGACCAAAGGCCTTTTCTCACACGGAGAAGGTTTGAGCATTAATCACTACGCTTACTTTAGGCGGATTGGGGATATAAAATTTATAATTACAAATTATAAGTCCAGTTTTCCTTACGGTTATTGAGACGGCCCTAAGGCTATCAGTAGGTACTATCATCAATAATATCAGTCGGGGTGTAGGCCAAAAGTTTTGGAGTAGCCACCAATAGATTGTTAAGAAACATTGACATTGCCTACTTTTAATTAGAACAGATTGTAAAGAAACATTAATTTCGAAAGAAAAGCAAATTTTTATCATATCACCAGTTCAATAAAAATTAGTTTAAGACCAAACGTTTCCTTGATAAAATTCCCACATAAACAGCTCCACGATTTTTAAAAAGTTTACCTTACCTACAAACCTACTTCTCTACCTTGTATTATTTTTTCTTAAAAACTTTCTAAGAAACTTACAATCGTTTGATTATTTAATTGTTAAAAAGTTCGAAAAGAAATCGGTACTTTAACATAGGTAATTGTTATACGGAAACTTTATTAAGAATCGTAAAACGTGACCGAACTGAACCGTTCGGGTTCGTACTCATGGGATTAAATTTGGGACGAGCACGCTACACCCTCTCGAAATCGCTACAAATCCTGTAAGCAAGGATCAAAGTCAAAAATCAAAATCCTGTATTTCAACTAGACCCTTACTTGCACTTTTGAACGTCAAAACATGATCTGCAATAGACACAACCATGAATACACCGAAACACTGATGTCCGTCGCGTCTCTGGGACATGAATTCCGAGCGTACGGCGCGTAGCGTTCCGCGCGCGACTCAAAGAGCCAATAGACCACCACAGACGGGGCCCTATAGGCCTGATGTTCAGCCGGAGTTGCGGGGTAAGTGCAATGAGGCACCGCGACCTCGGCCCAGAGCAGGAGAAGGAACAGGGGGGTTTGTAGTCAGTAAGAGTCTGACACTCCCTCCCGCCCGGCACTGGGAGGGAGAAGCCATTTGATGATTTTCCCCTCATAAAAAAGGGACATGAATTATTACTATCTTGGATCCCACAATAAAAGAAAAATAAAAGAAGTAGTTCCGACTATCGTCGATGAATTTAATGCAGGTGGCAAAATGACTTAGGTATTAAGGCACAAAAGAGACTGCACAACTAAAATTGATCAATTAAAAAACACCACGGAAAATTGACAAAAGTCATCATATAAAACTACTAGCTACATACTATGTAGGGAGTAATCTTTTAGTCAGATTTCCAAAAATTTTTCACTGATAGATATAGCTACAATGTTCCTGAGACTCTTTATAATATCTAACAAATATTATAAATGCAAAGTTACGATATTTGAATGTTGGTTACTCAATAACGCCAAAACGGCTGGACGGATCTGGATGAAATTTAGAACAGGCATAGAATACACTCCGAAATAGGACATAGGGTACTCCCTATCAACATACCACGCGGGCGACGCCGCGGGCGGGAGCTAGTTAGTATATATTTAACATGGACAGGTGACAAAAAATCGCCAATTTGAGTTCTATTGTACTTTAAATACTGTCAATTTTTCCTTAATAATACGTAGGTGTTACAATGCGTCATAAAATATTTTGGGTTCCTTTATAAAGGACCTCATTCTAATGGACCTATATTTGAACTCGCCTACGTATTTATTACCTAGGATTGCCTATACAATCAGAATATAGATACGTACTATGTAATAAATAAATACCTACTTTTTAACAAAAGGTAAAAAATCTTGCTGTTTATTTTTGTATGAAAGAGGTCGTATAAAACAAACGATCGTACATACAAATTAAGATTATTGAAATTCAGTTTATTAGCTAACGTCGATTTATGTAAATACCTGATTGTAAATATTTTTAAATACATTTTTAGACAAGTTTCGAGATTAACAGACATGCCAAGATTGTTTAAATTTAGTTTATTAGGTACCTACTTAAACCAATATTCCATAGACTACCTTTTATTTTTTTAAAAGGCAAGTCGCAATAGTTAAATGATTTCTCAAAAATGAAACCAAAAAATATTTATTATCTTTGCTACAATCAGTGTTAGACATATTAAAACATAAAATAATATCGCTTGGTAAAGAACATTTACTGCCATATTAATTATGGCACAATTGTGTGACTGACAATTACAATGTCAATTAATTAACTTAACAATACACAAAACAAAAATAAAATTAAAATATCGAAAAAAACATTAGGTAAGTACCTACAACAATACCGTATATTATTTAGGTAAGCAAAAAAGAAAAACATTTGCGCTACCGTTCCAAAAATAAAAAATTAAAAGAACAACAAATAATTATTTTTAAAATACTTTTTTAAGACAGCTCGTGACACGATGTATACAACCAATACAAGTTTCAATTTAAAAAAAGAATTCGAAACAGCCAGCGTCTCTTGAGACTTCGAGTGGCGCTGCATGGCAAGGAAATTGCAAATCTGCCATATTTGAAAGTATTAGTTCCCGGTTTTACCGTGTGTCATGTAAAGCTGGTTAGAAATCACACAATGGTTTTACTGGCGACGAATTCGTTCAAAGGCTAACAATAGGGGAAGCTTAAAACAATAGCGTATATCAAAGGCCTTCAGCTATTTGACAAAAGACTTCTTTCATTCATTTTGTTTTCCAATTTGTGTATTTTAGCTTCGTTATCGTAGTAAAAGGAATGTTTTTAGAACATTGTAGGTTATTAAAGATTTATTATTAGATCGTTTGGGAATTTGTGAAGCAAAGTTGTTTTTAAAATAATGTTAGACGAATGATTATGCATCTACTTAGTTTAGTAAACATGTTTGGCTATTTACCTGTAAGGTATAAGCAGCGATTAATTTATTATCAGTTTGGTAATCTTAAACTAAATATGGGTAAGTAAAACAAAATAGTTTAATAATATGCAGTAAATGAATTGATAATATTCTATCTATCAAGTGCATGACCTTGATACTCGCTACTATCAAAACAAATCAAGGCTCGGAGATTACCTTGCGTCTAAAAAAACATACTCGGCCAATGGGCCTCGCCGTACGGTGTGACGTCACGCGGCTTTGTGATTCCGCGTTGTAGAACATTGAGGTTATTTTCGTCACAGATTCTAACTGGCCCTGTGGCGCAACGGATAACGCGTCTGACTACGGATCAGAAGATTCCAGGTTCGAATCCTGGCAGGGTCGCGAAATTCTTTTGATTTTTAGTTCCAATATTTTTGCATTTATTTTAATTAATTTAATTACATAAATAATAGTTAATATAATATTTCCTCTTTGATGTTTCAGAAAGGTAATTGATTAATTAAATGTTGCTGTCTGCCAGTCAATTTACAATTATTAATTTAATTTCCTTGAGATCTCGACTTGATTGGAGTAAAAAGCATTTTATTAGGAAATGATAACACGTCAACTTTTTATTACTTGTTGTTGTTATTGAGCTTTTTCAATAGTTTTATCTCATAAAAATACAATAAATATGAAGAATAAAATAAAATAAAATAAAACGAGAAAAAACTAGGCAGAATATAATGTTACCTTTGCCGCCGCAGTCGGCCATTGTACACAGTAACCCTATTTCTACAAAATGCTTTAGCGCCTCATTGAGAATCGTCCCTGTTCCCTGTGACCTTTACAAAATGGCTGGTCATTACGAACAGTGGCTACCCACGCTAAATACAGGCATTCATCTTAGACACTGGTTTATTTCGTTAAGTTTTCTAGGTATTAAAATGTCGCTAGGTATTGTTATTCTTATTTATTTATAATAACGCCATCTGTTGGTGAATAGAGCGAAATAGGTTAAATATGAAAACATATTTTTTTATTCTTCAATTATTTATATTTCAATTTAAGTGATCTGCCTTTATAGTCGTGTATACACTTAATAAGTAGTCTTAATTCAATAAGCAATATTATGTATCTAAGAGCTGATTTTTCAATAGTCAGATAAATGTTATCTGAGGAATAAAATAGTTGCTGTCACTGACTTATACAAACATTCTGACGCGACAGAATTATAATTATTACCCAGATAACTTTTATCTAACCATTGAAAAATCAGCCCTAAAATCATTTTTTTATGATAACTCTGGCTTCTTATTTCAAATTCGGTCATAATGAAAAGATAGTCTTTTTCTATGGTACGCACTTTTTTCCAAATATTTGCAAACGTAGGTACCAACCATTACAAAGGAGGTCGTAAACCGCAGACGACTTTGATTCGTATTTTAATTAAAATCCAAGATTTTAACAACTTAATTAAAGACTTGGGTACTAGAACATAACATTTAAAAAATGTATAATATTGTAAGTGCCCAACTTTTTACATGAAATTCAAATTAAGTTAGTTTTTATGAACGTTTTTACTTTTCAAAGAATTCATTTCGAATACTTAATTAAATACTTAATTTTATCTGCATTGTTAGTTTATTGTGTAAAACTAATAGTTTTATTGTAAACTTATTGTCAACATTGTTATTTGTAAAGTGACAGGTTTATACTATAGTACTCTGTGGTGACAAGTCTCTGTTACTGTCATAGACAAGTAAACACTTCTGTA